ACCAGCGAGTGCTCAAAATGGCCATTTTTCTCTCCTAATTTTACCTTATATTTTGTCCTACTGTTACAAATTTTAATATATACAAAGCTTTTAGTCTTTAAAATCACTGTTATGGAACAAACCACTCCTTCCACCTCTATTTTTTTTCCTTTTTTTTTTTTTTTTTTTTTTTAACTGTACAGACTTGTTCCATTTTCAGGAATATCTAGACTTGGTGAGTGAAGCAACCTGATTGGCTTCCATCCAGCTGGTAGCATCTTGAAAGTGATAAAACTCCACGAAGGCGAAACCACGGCTTACACCTAGAGACAGCATTCAGATATAGACGGGATACTTGTGTTAGTCAGTTCCTTTAAAACAGGCGAATCTCTCTCCAACTGCTTCATTACTTCATGACAAAGCAGCTTTACAAATGCGACGTCAACTGCTGGGATCTGCTTGTTATTTTGCCATGGCAAGGAACCAAGCTGCCTTAACTGGCTACATTTCACTCGATTCGAATCCACGTTTAAAGGTAACCATGCAACAGACTACATACTATTAAATGGGTTTACACTATTATTACTTACCAATACCTGTTAACAAAACCCCCTGTAGACAGACTTCTTTTAACATGTTGACCAGCTATCTATAAGTCTTCCAAAAAGCCACATTCCTTAGCCATGGCAAACCTTTTTTTTTTTGTTTTTGTTTTTTTTTTGTAATGCATGTGCTTGCAGTTTGGGGACAATTCTGGATACTCTTTTGGGCTGGGGAAGAGGAAGGCAATGTCAAAAACTGGATTAAGAGCTCTCACCTGTCTTTCTCTTCATCAGCCTCACGTCTGCAGGCTGAGGACCTTCAAAGGACTCAATAAGCTCGCGAATCTGCATAAGATTTTGATGAAACAGTTAAAAATTTTCACATCTTGGCAGACAGCTAGAAGTCACAGAAGCAACCTACCTTACAGTACATGCAAGTGGTACACAAAACATCAACAGTCTCAATGCTATCTCAGACAAAGAAAACCTTTATGGAGAACCCAGCAGGGGACTGATGAGCACCAGAGAGCCCACAAGGCCCTTTGCTACACTAAACCAACTGTCGTGCTCACTCAGGCCACAGAATCATCCAGAATCTGAATCCCCATGATATTGTGTTCCAAGGTAATTTGTCCTAGATTTGGCTAATACCCTGCTTGAACCCAAGTTTTTAAAAGGAACATCCCTCTCTTCCTGCGTATGTACACAACCCTTGCTCCTGGCAATGAAATACAAGGAGCCTACACTGCAGGGCTCTGTGGTGAATGTACTGTTAAGTCTCATGCTTAAGTTCTCGTCTCTAACAGATCCCCTCCAGTTTTTCAGCAGATAACGTAGATTTGTGAAGAACGTGTCCTCAAAGAAAATGCTACAGAGACGTCAGTTCTTTTGCTGTAACAAAGCTGCTTAGGCTGCAGCATAGACAACATAAATCACTGGGGGAGGCATGGAGGAACAAGAAACACTAACCAATTTTTTTAATGCCACACTAGATGACAAAAGGTCTTTCAGCAGCTTTCACACAATTCAAACTACATTACATACTACGGGGCTGCTCAGCAGAATCAAAGTTGATCTTAAGCTGCTCGTTCTTATGCTGACCGGAATTGGTATCTTCAATGCAAGTAGCTTTTTCTCGTGAAAAATGTGGAAAAAGCTGAAAACTGTCTACACAGTCAGAAGCGTTGAAGAAATGTTAACTTAAGAAAACAACTAGCAGTTCCAAGACAAGTCCAGAATTAAACACTCACCTAAACTATGCCACAGTTACTGTAGCAATATCAATACCTCAGAAACAAAAAGTGTTCTGAAACATTTGTGAAACTATTAGAGAAATAAGTGGTGATTAAGACATTCAATATTAGGAGTGCAGCAAATAATAAGTAAAAAAAAGGAAAAAAATTCAGTGCAGAAATGGTGCAAAAGCATTCTGTTAGCAGTCAGCACACAAACACCTCACCGGCAGAGGTGGAGCCTGCCTGAAAACAAACTGGAATCGCTCAGCTTTTACAGGGCTAACCCTCAAATAACAGTTGTGGGCTTATAGCCTGGTAACCAAAATAATCTAGCAAGGAAGAAAAAAAACACCCTAAAAATGTTACAGTAAAAAACCCTAAAGCTTTAACATCTATTTAAGGAATTAGATACGCAAGTTATCAAGCTCACATATACTTGCTCTGTCAGCTCGGCAGCAGCCATTTTATGACTCCCACAGCTGTGCCTGCACAAAGCAGCTTTGTGCTTGGCTGAGGAGCTCAGTGTCTGTGTGTGACCCCACTAGACACAGCTTCTGACCCCAATAAAGACCAGAAAAACTGAAGGAAGGGCCATCCATGTGTCTCTGTCCCCCTCCCCTCTCGCTGCAGTGGGAAGAGGCAAAAACCTGCCTCTTCCCTCCAATAAAGAAAAGCAGCGAAGAGAAGGTAGCTTAAAATCCACTCTAAGGGAAAGCATCCAAACATGTGTGAAAAAACGACTATTCGGGGATTGTTTCGTCTGAAAGAAACTGGTTAACATTGAACTGACCTCTGTCACTCTAACAGTGACAGTTTAAATGCTTTCAGGACTCAAAATGGCAGCGCGACGGCGCTGGAGAGGGGCCACCATGATGCAGCGCTCAACAAAATGGCAGCGGCCGCCGCTCCCGCACAGCCCTGCCCGGCTACTCACATCGTTCTCCGTAACCGTGATGGGGAGCCCACGCAACATGATGGTCTTGCTTTCTTTCTCATCGTTAATATCGTTCCTGTAGTCGTGCTCTCCGTAGTCGCCATCGGAATGGTATCCGTCCTCTGACTTGTCGCTGTTCCTGCGCTCCCGCTCCCTCTGGAAGCCAGCGCCCAGGATTAGCCCCGCGGCTGCCCGCAGCGCGTCCCCGCAGTGCCACCGGCCCGCGACACACACGGACACTGAGCCCTGGCCCGGGGCTGGTCCCCACCACCGCGGGCATCGCCCAGGGTCGCACCCGGCCCCCCCAGCCCCACACACGCCCCCGGGCCGGCCCCGCTCCGGCTTCCCCGGCACCGCTCACCTCGGGGCTATCGTAATCGCGGCTGTCGTAATCTCTATCATAGTCTCGGCTATCGCGACTGTCGTAGTCTCGGCTGTCCCGGCTGTCGTAGTCCCGGCAATCGTAGTCTCGGCTGTCCCGGCTGTCGTAGTCGCGGCAATCGCGGCTATCGTAGTCGCGGCAATCGCGGCTATCGCGACTGTCGTAGTCCCGGCAGACCCGGCTATCTCGGCTGTCGTAGTCCCGGCTGTCGTAGTCGCGGCAGTCTCGGCTATCATAGTCTCGGCTGTCGTAGTCCCGGCTGTCGTAGTCGCGATAGTCATCGTAGCGGTCACCGCGGCGCTCCTCGCTAGACCTCTTGTAGTCATCCCTGCGCCGGCTGCGGGACTCCCGCTCGTCGCGGTCCTCCCTCTCCACGATGGAGCCGTAGCGGCCGCTCCGCTCCGTCCGGCTCACCCTGCGGCACAACAGCGGGCCGAGCTCAGAGAGTGAAGCGCCCGCCGCGACCCCCACCACTGCCTGCCTGCCCGCCCGCCTCCCTCCCGTCTGCCCCTCGCCCTCCCACCGCCGCTCACCGCTTGTCCGAGCCCATGCCGCCGCCCAGGATCCGCAGGCAGCCCGCGTAGCACTGTCCGGCACCTCACACCGAGCACACCCGCACAGCGCCTCTCGCTGCCTCGCCACAAAATGGCGCCCAGGGGACCGCCCGTCTTCTACCCAGCGGCCACCGCAGGCCGCGACTGGAAGCTTCCAGGCGGGCACGCCGGGAAATGTAGTTCGGGGGCGCAGGCGCCATTAAAGGGCCCCCTGGGCCGGCCCCCCCCGCACGGGACCGGCATGCTCAGAATCCCGTTCGGCGTGGCCCTGGACACTGACAGGGATCGCAGCTGCTCTGGGAAACCTGTGCCAGTGCCTTACCACACTCATCATAAACATGTCTTCCTTATGTCCAATCTAACCCCGCCTTCTGTCAGTTAAAAGCTGTTACTCCTTGTCCTGTCACTCCACACCCCTGTCCAAGTCCCTCTCCAGGTCTCCTGAATGCCCCTTTAGGCACTAGAAGGGGCTCTAAGGTCTCCATGAAGCCTTCTCTTCTCCAGAGAGAACAAACTAATTCCTCTAGCCTATCAATAATTAAAAGGGTGCCACAGGCTGCAGCCCTTTGAAGGCGCACCATGAAACTAAACCATGCAGGGGAACACACGAGGCTGTGCCCAGCCTGCACCGCTTGGGCTGATGTGGCCAAGTCCAAGAGATACAAAGCCAGCGAGGCTTTGACCCCAGCAAGGTTGCCCTCTCCATGTTGCCAGCACGAGGGTCAGCTCTGCCTCCTGCCTGTGATACCGGTCCCCGCTGCCCGCACAGCCCCCCTGCCCGCACCCGCACCCCTCAGGGCAGGGCTGCGGGCAGGAGGAGGCAGCCATTGCCCAGAACCACCCACATTCAGCTCCCAGGGCACGGCCAGGTTTCCCTCCCTGCCTGAGGTTTTCCTCAGCACTGCCTGTTTGGTGGGGACCCAATAAAAGATATTTAACACACAAAATGACGCCGGCGTCATTAACTCTTTCAAGACTGTTTTCTTTGTCTCAGAGCATGGTGAGGGGGGGTGGCTGGATGGAAGGGCAGCTGCTGCCAGGGTCACCCCTTGTCCAGGGACTGCTTGGCAGTGCAGGCACTGTGGGCAGTGCAGGCAGTAGTGTGGGCAGTGCAGGCAGCAGGCAGGCAGTACAGGCAGCAGTGCAGGCAGTACAGGCAGCAGTGCAGGCAGCAGGCAGGCTGCGCAGGCAGCAGGCAGGCAGTACAGGCAGCAGTGCAGGCAGTACAGGCAGCAGGCAGGCCTCCCACAGGGTGCATGCGCTACCCGGGGGCGTGACAGCTGTTTCCTCTCTCCTCCCTGCCTGCTGCCTAGGGGAAAAGTTTTTCCTCCAGGCAGGCTGCGTGACCAGCCTGAAGGCTGTCAGAAGCTCCTTGGCAGGCAACTCCAGGCAGCAGGAGCAGGTAGGACATGACTGCTCCCAGCTCCTCTGCCCCCTTTACTGCCCTCACCTCTATCTGCTCGGCTGGGACCAAGGGGGCAAAGGAGACAGGGGCTGCCTGAGACTCCCATGCCCAAATCAAAGCTCTTCACTGGGCTTGGGAGGGACTGGAAGGCATGTCGGGGGGGGGGGGGGCATTGCATGCTTTCCTCTCCTGCGTGGCCCTGGGGGCACAGAGCTGAGGGAGCTGTGGGGACACACTCCTGTGGATTGGGGGTCCCTGGTGGGGAGAGGTTGGGGCCAGCAGACCCTCATCCTCTTCCAGCTCTTCTGACATGAGCTTGATGAGCCAGCAGCTAAGCAATCCCCCCTCACCTCTGTGTCACTGGACTGTTCTCACTTTGGGGTCCCTTGGAGTCTGAAAGGTGCTGAGAGGCTCTGTCCCCCACTCCGAACACAGGAATAAGGCCGAGACATTTTGTGGGCAGAGGTCCCATCCCCTCCTCCAACCTGGCTCTGGGCTGGAGGAGGAGGCAAAGACGAACTTTCCCGGAAGGGCTTGGCGAATCTCATGTCCTGCTCTGCCTCTCCCCAAAGGACTTCGCTGGAGGATTAAGGCTGAGCTGCCCCCGCGGGGAGGCTCAGTCATGGCTTCTAAACGCCCCGCGTCCTCCTCTACACAGCCAGATGGCAAGGAAAAGAAAGCGAAAGGGGAAGAGGGGGATGACACTTGGAGCTCCACCTTGGCAGCCCTCAAAACTGCCCCCAAGGAGAAGCCCCCTGCCACCATCGATGGGCTGTGCCCCCTGAGCACAGCACCAGGTGCCCAGGTGAGAGTGGGGCTAAGGTACCCAGAAGGGCTGGGATGGGGGACATAGGCAGGAGGAGGAACTCCAGGGCAGCCACCCACTGACACATAGGCAGCCCCAGTTTTCCGTGTAGACCCTCCTGTGTCCCTGCTGGAACATCTCTGCACCCTCCCCAACCCCAAATGCTGCCCAGGTGCCAGCCCAGGCCACGCCATTTGCTGTAGGTCTACGAGGACTACGATTGCACCCTGAACCAGACTAACATCAGTGCCAACAACAACAAGTTCTACATCATCCAGCTCCTTGAGCACGATGGTGCCTACAGTGTCTGGAGCCGCTGGGGCCGTGTGGTGAGTCCACCCTGGCACTGCCCACCCACCCATCCCCCAGCTGTCCCCATCCTGCCTGCAGACCCCCAGAGGTTGAGGATGAACCTGGTGGTCCCCATCCCTTTTTCCTGGTCCCAAAGCAAGCAACAAAGTGTCCTTTTATAGCCCTTTGCTTGGGGGCTTCAAGGACTTTGCCCCACACAACATGGCCAGCCTGGCTGGGACACATGGCACTTGTCACTGCAGTGAATGTGAATGTGACGTTACAGCAAGGAGTCCTGAGGTCTATTCCCATGCTGGTGGCTCAGCATATTCCTACTCGCTGCCCCATAGCCCTGCCACTGCAACCCACACTGACCCTGCCTGCTCCCTCCAGCATGGGGCTGGTGGGGCAGGGGTGTAGGAGAGGTCCTAACCACTGCTATCCACTGTCAGGGGGAGGTTGGCCAGTCCAAACTCATGCCCTGCACCTCCCTGGAGGCTGCCAAGAAGGACTTTGAGAAGAAGTTTCGGGAGAAGACCAAGAACAGCTGGGCTTCAAAGGAAAACTTCATTGCCCAGCCAGGGAAGTACACACTCATCGAAGTGCAGCCAGGGGCTGAGCAGGAGGTGGAGGTTGCTCTCAGGGTGAGTACAGCGGGCATCTGGGGTGTCACCACAGTCGGGTAGTCCTCACTCCTGGGCTACTGGACACCAGTACAGCTGCCCTACAGGACATCGAAGAGGGTCACCAAGATGTGGTGGGTTCTGAGGATGGACTGGGTGTGTGCTGAAACAGCCTGAAGGCAGATATTTGGGGCTAATGGGTTGAAATGGAGTGGGAGTACATCCTAAATGAAAATCATGGACTTCTGGGTGGAATCAGTAATGGAAAATGGAGGCAGCACCTGCCCATTGCTTTGCTGCCCAGTGGCTGGGCTCTCCCCACCAGGCAGCCCGGGTGCCGTGCTTCCTCAGCCTCTTGCAGGCTCACAGATGATGCTGGGGATCTGCAGGTGGATGGCGTGGATGGGGGCAAGGTCTGCAAGCAGCGGGTGCTGCCCTGCACCTTGGACAAGGACACACAGGAGCTGGTGTCTCTCATCTTCAGCAGTGACATGTTCCGGGATGCCATGCAGACCATGAATATCGGTAGGAGGTGATGGATGGTATGTGGTGGGTCTGGGGGCTTCAGCTGGGGGGTTCAGGTAGAGGGGTGAATGGGGCAGAGGTGCTGATGGATTTTAGAGCATCCCCTCTAACATCCTGGCACCTGGTGGGACTGTGGATACCCTGTGCCAAGTGCCTGCATGTGCCCGTGGTGACGCTGGAGGTTCTTGTGAGGCAAGTGGGGTGGATGGGTTCCCCATCTATGCCCTCCCTGACACCCTCCAGACGTGAAGAAGATGCCTTTGGGGAAGCTGAGCAAGCAGCAGATCGCGAGGGGCTTTGAGGCACTGGAGGAGCTGGAGACAGCACTGCAGGAGCAGCCCCCCCAGGCCTCTCGCCTGGAGGAGCTCTCCTCCCGCTTCTACACCATTGTCCCCCACAACTTTGGCCGGGCACGGCCACCCCCCATCAACTCCCCTGACCTGCTGCGTGCCAAGAAGGACATGCTGTTGGTAAGATGCCAGGGCACATAGTGGGTAGCATCCCTCCTGGAGGAGGGCTCCTGCCTGTGGGGCAGGGAGCTGCTGGCAGAAGGTTGGGCTTGCCCTGTTCCCCCTGGCACAGTGCCCGGCACTGGTGGTGAGGATGTCTCCGGTCTGTCCCTGCCAGGTGCTGGCTGACATTGAGGTGGCACAGAGCCTGCAGGCACAGAAAGTGAAGGAGGAGGAGGAGGAGAAGGAGAAAGAAGTCCCCCATCCACTGGATCAGGATTATGCCCTGCTCTGCTGCCAGCTCTCCCTGCTGGACTCAGCCTCCCGGGAATATCAGGTGCTCCTTGTGCCACAGTGTCTCACAACTGTACCAGGCCTGTGGGCCAGCAGGTCTTTGCTGGTTCCCACTGTCCCAGGGGCACTGTGGGCATTGCTGGGATGGCTGCCTGGGGTGACATTGCTTTCCTGCCTCCCTCCCTGCAGCTGATCCAAAACTACGTGACACAGACTGGGCACAAACCCCACATCCTCAACATCTGGCAGGTGGCCCGAGATGGTGAGGTGAGGTGGAGATGATTTGCCCCATCTTGCAGTGTGGAAGCCCTGGTTGCACCCCAGGATTGTGTTAGGGCTTCTTCACCCAGCGGGGGCTTCAGCCCAGCTGGCCAGGGGCAAAGAGTTCCCGCTCCCCTGGCCCTCCAGCTGGGCACTGGGGTTGGGCTGGGGGAGTGGGTGGCAGCCCTCCACACCTGGGCATCCACGTCTCCCTCCGTGGACAGCTCTTAGCTGTGCATCTCTCTAGGATGAGCGCTTCAAAGCCCACGACCTCCTGGAGCACCGGCGCTTGCTTTGGCACGGCACCAACGTGGCGGTGGTCGCGGCCATCCTGAAGAGTGGGCTGCGCATCATGCCACACTCAGGAGGGCGTGTGGGCAAGGGCATCTACTTTGCCTCTGAGAACAGCAAATCAGCCGGCTACGGTGAGGGTCCTGGGACAAACAGGGCTTCTTGGGGTGCCCGCAGGATCTGTGTGAGCTAGGCTGCCTTTGCGTGATCCCTGCCAGGCAGCTGTGGGCATGCCAAGCCCCTTCCCTGAATGGCAAGTGATCCCTGTGTCCCAGCATGGCCTAGGCACAATGAGATGGGAACACTAGGGATGGTGCTATCATCTTCATCCCTTTCTCCCATGTCAGTGGGCCGCACATCCAAGAATGTTGGCATCATGTTCCTGGCGGAGGTGGCCCTGGGCAAGCCCTACCGCATCACCAGCGATGACCCCTCACTGCATCAGCCACCTGCTGGCTATGACAGTGTCCTGGCCTGTGGCCGGACAGAGCCGGGTGAGCCTGGGGCAGGAGGGGTGTGGGGTTTGTGGGGTGGGAGTGGGCACAGGACAGGGGGGAGAGAGGCAAGGTTTTGGGCTTGACATGTTGGTGGGGGTGACTTCTGGCCCAGACCCTGCACAGGATGAAGAGGTGCTGCTGGATGGCAAGAAGGTACTGGTGTGTCAGGGCAAGCCCATCCCCATGCCTGCCTACAAGGACTCCTCCTTCAGCCAGAGCGAGTACCTCATCTACCAGGAAAGCCAGTGCCGGATCCGCTACCTTGTCCAGCTCCGCTTCTGAGTGTGCCTGGGAACCTTGTGGCCCTGGCCCAGCACCAGCTGCTGATGCCCACCAGCCCAGAGGACAGTAATCTGGAATCTCTGGCCACCCCACCTGGGGTTTGGCAAGAGACAGGCTGATGTGGGGACAGAGCTTGCTTTGACTATGAATAAAAGCATCGTGCCTTGTACTGAAGGGTGTTTGCGCTTTCCTGCCCTCGGCAAGGTGCATGTGGTGTAGGGAAGGGCAGGGTAGGGTCCCTGAAGTGTTGGCAGTGGATGACTCTGGAGGGGCTACAGCCTTCAGAGATAAAATCTGGTGGCTTTGAGAGCCAGCTGCCCTTGTCACTTTAGCAAGGCACACGGCTCATGCCCATCACCGTGGCATCAGAGCTACAGAGGACGAGGAAGATCTGCTGCCCTGCCTGGGCACGGAACAACATCATGAGGGTGAGTGCCTGCCCTCCGTCTAGTGCCGTTCTTGGTGCCATGCCTGCTGTCCTGCCCCAGCCTGGAAGCCATGCCAAGCCCCTTTCCATGCTCACATGTGCCAGAGAAGGGCAACTCCCAGCTGTGTTACCCATGAGCATCCATGTGCCAGTGGAGAGGAGTTGCTGCAGACCTGCCTGTAGCTCTGACCCTCAAGCCCTGGTGACCTGGGGGCTGAGCCGTTCTTGTGGAAGGACCAGGCTTGGTGCAGCGGGTGGCCATTCTGGGAGGGAGACATGTCTTGGGGACCCCGGTCCCCCCTTCCCAAGCCCCTGCCGGCTGCTAGGACCCAGCAGCTGTCCCCGTGGGACAGCCACGAGTGCAGGCAGTGCAGGCAGCGCCGGGAGTGACAGCTGGTGCCATCCGCAGCTGGCGGGCTGCAGGCAAACAGGATGACGAGCGGGTGACGGGAGCGGGGAAGGGGGAGCGTGGCCTCATACAGGGCCCACAGCCCCTGTTCTGCTGCGGGAGTGACACTGGCAAGAGGGACCCTGGCAAGGAGAGGAGCATCACCCACCTTCCCAGGAGCAAAGGTGCGCTGAATCCCACCCACCCCGGTGTCCCCTGCAGCTGGAGCAAGAGGGTTGGGGCAGGCAGGTTGTGCTGTCCCTCCTGGGGACATAATGGTGCTGTTGGGGAAGGGGGACAGGGTATAAGCCTGCTATGGGTGCCTGCAGGTCCCAGCGGTGCTGACTCTGGCCGGACTGGGGATAGCCTGGGTGCCAGCTTTGGGACAGGCAGGGTGCTGTGACCTCACTGGCTACCTCTCCTCCCTCCAGTACCTCAAAGGTGTGCTGGTTGTCTTTGTTTCTCCGTGGCTCTTCTTCATTTTGTTTTTCCTCCTTCCCACCCCACTCCTGTCCCCAACAGGCACAGAGAAGATAGAGGCCATGGTTCTGGTGGGGTTTCCCTCTATGGGATGCAGGAGAAGAATCCTTGCTGCCCAGGCACTGGAGCTGCTGGCTTAGCCCTTGAGGGGGATGGCGAGTCGAACAGGGCAAAACACCACGGACAGCCTAGAGCTGCTCTCCATTCCTGAGTACTCCATTGCCCAGGAGGTGGTGGGCCTCTTCTGCATGATCCTGCTCACCCTCACTGCCCTGGTGGCCAACAGCGTAGTGTTGGTCGTCATTCTCAAAACCCCCCTTTTCAGGAAGTTCATCTTCGTCTGCCACCTCTGTGTGGTTGATCTTCTCTCTGCCATTTTCCTCATGCCCCTGGGCATCATCTCCAGCTCCTCCTGCTTCAACAGGGTGATCTACAGCATTGCTGAGTGCAAGGCCTTGATATTCCTGAATATCTGTTTCATTAGTGCCTCCATTCTCACCATCGCCATCATCAGCGTGGAGCGGTACTACTATATCGTCCATCCCCTGAGGTATGAGGTCAAGATGACCATCAGGTTGGCGGTGGCTGGAGTGATCTTCATTTGGGTCAAGTCTGCTCTCATCACTATCTTGGCACTGGTGGCGTGGCCTCAAGGCAACGGGGCCACCAGTGCCAGCCGCTGCACAGTCTACTGGAGCCCTGGGGCACATAAGAAGGTTTTTGTGATACTCTTCAGCATCACCTGCTTTTTTCTGCCCACCGTCATCATCCTTGCTGTCTACAGCAGTGTCTACCGTGTGGCCCGGACGGCGTCCCTACAGCAGGCGCCGATGCCAGTGCCAGCACAGGCCATTGCACCCAGACACCGATGTGACTCCATCGCCAGCCAAGTGACCATCATCATTGCCAGGATCCTGCCACTGCCCAAGCTGATCCCAGATCGCCTTTTGGGAAGCAACAAGGCCATCCTCACCTTGGTCCTTATTGTGGGACAGTTCTTGTGCTGTTGGCTGCCCTTCTTTGCTTTCCACTTGCACTCCTCTGTCACTGTTGGCACTCTGGGTGGTGGGCACGGGGAGATGGTGGTCACCTGGGTTGCCTACTCCTCCTTTGCCATCAATCCCTTCTTCTACGGGCTGCTGAACCGCCAGATCCGTGAGGAGCTGGCCCGGCTCCGGCGCAGCTGTCTCAACCGGCCGCTCGGTCAGGAGCTCTGTCTTTCCATCTCAGAGGCTTCTGTCCAGGAAAACTTCTTGCAGTTCCTCCAGAGAGCAACTTGCACACTGGAGACCCACACCAGCTGCATCAGCCCCAGCCCCAGCCCCCGGAACAGGCTGGACCAGACCACAACAGGCTTCCCCATCCCAGGTCAAGTTCCTGAACAGAGCAGCTGAGAAGCAGGAGGCTCTGTACCACCATGCTGGGCAGGAAACCTACCAGGGACCCCTCAGACTTGCTTGGACCCAACCTCTTGGATCTGGAGGAGTCCTTGTTTGGGTTTTGCCTCTCTCTGAGCTTATGGTGGAAGATGGTTTCTCTGCTGGGGGAAGGCAGCAGATCTGGTGAAGCCTCAGGTCTCTTTTGCAGGCTGGCTCTACCAGCACAGCCCAGTTGCATGGATAGGCTCTCCTCAGGACATGGGATGCCAAGGGGCTCCTGAGCAGGGGCAAGGGTACACCTTCATCTCCATCACCCTGCTGGAACCATTCATGGTCAACAGGGAGGGCAGATGTCCCTTGCACCCTACTCGGGAGCAATGTCCCAACTAACACCACTAACACCAGTAACAGCAGGGCCCCAGGCACCCCGCTGAGCCTGGATGGCAGACACAGAGACCTCCATCCTTGGCTGTTAAACCCAAAACTAATGTCTATATGGAGGAGCTCCTGCTCCCTGTGGTACTGACTGGGGGGACACACCCGCGGGGCTGACTCTGGCCGTGTCACTGTTTGTCCTGCTGGCATGGCAGCGCATAGTGCCTGTGGCCATGCCTGGCTGTGCTCTCTGTCCCCGCTGCCTGCCAGGGGCCACCCCTCTGGGGGGAACTGGCTGCCTGAGGGTCTGTGCCAGGCTGTTTATGGACAGAGCTGTCCAGCTGAAGCCCAGCCAGTGGTGCCACGTGCCAGCCGGACTGGGCTGCTGGCCAGGGGCATGCTGGGGGGGGGGACATGGTGACACAGGGTGATGGGGGGTGGCTGTGTGGGGTGCCCCTAGGCAGCAGCAACCAGAGAATATCAGGAGCTTCCACTTCGGTCTCATTGCTTCTGCAAGACCTCCCATGGGGTCCTCAGTGCCAGAAAAGGAGTCCTTTTGGAGGATGCTGCAGGGGTACATCAACCTCAGCCCACCCACAAAGGTCCCAGGAATGGTGTTGGCATGGTGGATTGAATATGTCTTTCCCCTTATAATAACTGGGGGCCTGAGGGAGAACTGGCCCATGGCCTCTCAAACTGCCCCATGGCAGGGAGGGGGCTCCAGGATGACCCACAGAGAGATGGGGCTGAAGGCCAGCACTCTCCCCACCCCAGACACAGGGATGCCCCTCCAGCCAGCACCCCATGTCCCTAGGAGCTGGGGCTGCCCCTGCTGGGGGAGAAGTCTCCACTCAGGGTGGGGAATATTATTATTATTATTTTCTTGTAAATTTTATCTTTTTATTAAACCATTGATAAGTTACAAAGGAGGAAAAAATATAGACTTATATATACAGCATTTCCAAGCCAGCAGGTACTGGCTCTTGGATGGGGTTGCTGGGAGGCGATTGCCCCAGGGTGGCCAGGGGAGGGCCTCCCACCAGAGCCAGGGGTCGAGGGACTCCTGGAGAGGCCAGGCAGTCCCTCATCCAGTGGGACCTGGCTTTCGGGTGCCAGACGAGAATGTGGGCAGCAGCAGGATGGCAGGGTAGGCAGGGTGAGGAGCAGGAGGCAGGGGTCCCACACTGGCACAGGGAGAAGGGACCCTAGGCCAGCAGGAACAGCCCCCCCACAATGCCAGGACATGTTGTCTCTGTGCAGGAAAATCAGGGAGGGGGGCACAGTGCTGCTGGGACTGGCAGCAGGCAACGAAGCAGCCCCTTCCTCCAGCGGGCATTGCTGCCAGGAAGACCCTTCCCTTCCCTTCCCTGGGGTGGGGGGCAAGGAGGTCCACCCGGGGCATGGGTATCTGGCAGGGCCTGGGGGCCAGAGAGGGTGGCAAGGAGATGTCTCTGGTAACAAGTGGCACCCTGGACCCCCTGGCCTGGCCCACCAGGGCTCAGTAGGGCGAGAATTTCTGCCGGTCAGCTTTCTTGGTGCCATTGGCCGCTGAGATCTTGGTCGTGTAGGTGGCGGTGCCACCATTGGGACCCGCCACAGAGGACGGAGACAGTGCCAGAAAGGACACCGGCTTCAGGCCGATGAAGTTGGAGAGAGAGATGGCGTAGGGGGTGCCCAGCAGGGCTGGGGGGGGTGGGGCAACGGCAGGAAGCGCTGCACCGGAGCCTGGGGCGAGGGGCTGGGAGAAACCCATGCCGAGGTCCATGGAGCCAGGGCCCGGTGGCACCTGGGAGGTAGATTTAGCCGTCTCTAAGCTGGGGAAGCAAGCGAGAAGGATGGGATGGTGACTACCATGGTGACACAAAGGGTTTCCCACACGCCCCAGCCCTTGTCACAGGTCTCCATGGCACATCCCGGGCATCCCACCGGGTAGGATGAAAACATGGGACTCAAACCTGGAGAGTCTCAGGTCCTCAAAGGACCATCCCAGGACCTCAAAGCACCACACAGCTCATCCTTCCTGTGGATGCTGGGGTGGGGGTTTACCCCTAAAGCTGTCTTGAGGTGCTGGGGAAGTGCCACCCCTCACATGCATCCAGCATGTGTCCCCACCAGGCTGGTGCCTACCAGGCTGTGATGAGGTACTGGGCCAGGGTGATGCTGACGGGGGTCCCCGTGATGGTCACGTGCCGCTCACTGGAGCCCTCAGTCTGGTTCCCGATTTTGATGTGAGCACCTGACATCTGCCTGATCTCACTGATCTTGCTGCCGTGCCGGCCGATGATGCAGCCGATGAGCTGAAGGGGCAGGGACCAGGGTGAGCTGTGAGGAGATGGAGCAGCCACACCAAGCAGGGAGCTCCCAGAGGCTCACCCAGACACCTGCTACACCTGGGAGGGTTGGGGAAACTGCAGATTGCAGTGGGAGGGCAGGGCACTGCTTTCCTTGGGCAGACCCTGCTTTTTGGTCTCACTCAAGGCCCCCTTGCTGGCATTGCTGGGCTGCCACATGCCAAGGCCCTTCCTTGGCATTGGCCAAGCCCTTTCACCCCTTCATGTGCCTGAGTTTCCCTTTTATTCTGCCCCAGCAGCCCCCCTCCTGCTCCTGAGCTCTGGCAGAGCCTCCTCTGTGAGGGGCAGTGGGTCCTGGACCCTGCAAAGTGCCTGCAGGGTGGGACACATGGGTGGGGGCAGGTTCCGGTCCCTCTTGCCATCCCCAGACCGGTACATACATCGTTGGGCACCAGGAACTCCTGGGAGCTGCTCTGGGAGCTGGCATCCAGGCCTGGAGAGAGAGACAGGGATGTTAGCAATGAGGAGGCGGGTCTCCAGTAGCTCCACGCCCCCTTTCTAGACCTGTGCTAGGACAGCCAGTGGCTCTGGGGACAAACCTGGAGGAACCCTGGGGAAAGGCAGGGAGGACAGGACATAAGCACCAGCCGTTATTTGGTGCCGGTGCTCTCCCGTTGCAGGGTTGGGGAGTACTGGTCGGTGCAGGGACCCCAGGAAATCAACGAAGGGTTGTGCTGGGGGGAGCACATAGCCATGCCAGGGGGGATGGGACTGGAGAGGGTGCAGCGGTTGGGGACCCCCTCATGAGGATCAGATGTCTGGGTGGGTCAGGAGGGGCCCTTCACACCCCCAGCCTTGGGGAGGGCAAGGGAGATGTCCCATGGTAGCTCACCTGGCATCATGGCAGGTGCAGGGCCCAGGGGGGCGAAGGGAAGTGTGTGCCCTGACAGCTGCTGCAGCTTCGTCACCTGCTCGGGGAGTAGGAGGAGGAGGAAAGAGGTGTTAGTGGTGATGGCAGAGAGTCCCCTGTGCCCCTGCTGGGGCTGAACACTTGCACCCAGTGCCTCCCAGGATAGGAATTCCCAGCAGCACCTGTCCTGGTGGGCATGGACCCAGTGCCCACAGGAGCTGCCACAGGGACAGACTCACCTCTGTGGGAGAGACCCCGCTGTACTGGCCCTGCATGGAGAAGCCCTGGGGGGAGAAAAAAGGGGTATCTGTCGGGAGCCAGGTGGGGACCACTGTCTCAGCTCCCCACCCTCAGGGCAGAGAGGTCACCATGAGCCCACCAGAGTTGCCTCTTGCTGGCAAAAGCTGCTCCATGTCCCGGTGGGGCTGTGCCCTCTTACCTGGTTGGCAGAGAGCAGGATGGTGCCCAGGGAGAGGCCAGGGTGGTAGGGTATGGTGGCCCCCTTCGGAGGTGACTGGAGACAGAAGGAAGGAGGTGGAGGGGATGAGAGATGAGGCTGAATGCCCCCTAGAGCCCCATGGACCCTCCGCTCCCTCATGCCTCCAGCAAGCTGGGCACAGCCCTCAGCACCACCAAGGCAGGGTGCTCCTATGGGCTTCTACACAGGGGAACCATGGTGTTTGGGTCCAGGTGGGCACAGGAAGCCTTGGGGAGGGGGAGGTGGGTAGCACATGCCCCTGGGCTGGGCATGGGGCTTGTGGGGGTACCTCCAGGATGACGGCGCAGATCTGCCTCACGCACTGGATGATGGTGTCCGGCACCCCCGAGACAGTGACGGCCCGTTCTGTGGAGTTGGGCAGCAGGTCGCCGGCCACCTGCACCTGTGCCCCCGTGCTCTGGGGGGAGCAAAGGGACATGCTGGTGTCCCTCAGCCACTCCCAGTGAGGGCTCAGCACCTCACACCTCCGCTGTTACCCTCCTGAGCTCCCAGGGACCATTGCAGGACCTGCAGAGTGATGCTCTCTGCTCCTGCATCACCTGCATCACTTCCCACAGCCCCTGCCGGACTGTGGCAGCTCCCAGGCTGAGGGCTCTGCGCTCCCTGGGGGAAAAAAGGATCCTGCACCCAGGGCATCCTCAGTCTCACCTCCCGGATCTCCCGGATCTTAGATCCTGCCTTGCCGATGAGGGAGCCACACTGGCTGGCTGGGATGACAAGGCGCAGGGTCACCGGTGCTCTGCCTGCTGCCATCCCATCGCTCCCTACTCCCAGGTCCTGTGAGGGAAGGGGGATTCAGCATCAGACCCCCAGGATCCCGCAGGTGTGGGGGCACCCAGCAGGGTGTGGGAGGGCTGCCTACCTCCTCCAGCTTGAAGGCGATCATGGAGACAGCTCGGAAGACGGCATCAGTGGAGCCAGTGATAGTGGTGATGCGCTCGGGGCAGGACCCCTCTGAGATGGTGATGCGTGCACTGCTCTGGGGACAGTGTCACACTCCG